CTTGGATTTGCAAAGACAATTCTAAAACCAGACGAGATAGTGTTGTCCGTTTTCATTCCAGCTACAAGACCGGTAAGAAACTAACCGTCGGCTAGTTTCAGTGCTTTGCACATTGTTTGCAAAAGTATCATGTTTTTTTTTTTTCCCCAGAACGAGATTGTCCATGCCTTCCGACATGCCCCGCGTAAGGAGAGCGCACTAGCTACGGTGAATGCTGGGATGCGCGTTTGGTTCAACGAGAACTCAAATGTAGTGAAGGAGATCAGTATTTATTATGGAGGAGTGGGAGCCACCATCCTCAGTGCTGAACGCGCATGCCAACAGATTGTAGGAAGGTATGAAATTAATTTATGTTATTTTTTTTTTTTTAAGTTTTGTTTCCTATGAAATTAGAGTATTAGTAAATTATGTTTTGTGGAGTAAAATTTAAATTGTGTGATACTTCAGTTGTTTTTTAAATTAGAATTTTTTGCAGTACTTTCTCTGGGAATGGAGTAAAAGTTAAATTGTCCAATTCGTTGCGTTGTTTTTTGAGTTTAATTTTTTTGTGGGAATGGAGTAAAATTTAAGTTGGCTAATAATTTGCGTTGTTTTTTTTTTTAGTTGCATTTTCTCTTTGAATGGAGTAACTTAACAGTTGTCTAATGCTTTGTGTAATACTTTGCTTTGTTTTTTGTTTTTGTTTTTTGAGTTGCATTTCCTCTGGGATACGAGAAAAAACTGAGTTATCTAATGCTTTGGGTTTTTTTTTTGTTTTGTTTTTTTGTATCTCCTCTGGTATTGGAGTAAAAGTTAGTTTGCGTAATGCTTAGTATAGGTTTTTTTTTTTCATTTGCATTGCCTCTGGGATGGGAGTAAAAGTTGCATAATAGGTTGCATTGTTTTTTAAGTTGCAATAGTTTGCGTTGTTTTTGTGCTTTGACTTTTTTCTTTCTTGAAGGCCTTGGGAGGAGGCGACGTTAAGTGATGCGTACAGCACATCCTCAGTGCTGAACGCGCATGCGAACAGATTGTAGGAAGGTATGAAATTAATTTATGTTATTTATTTATAATTTTTTTTTAAAGTTTTGTTTCCTATGAAATTAGAGTATTAGTAAATTATGTTTTGTGGAGTAAAATTTAAATTGTGTGATACTTCAGTTGTTTTTTAAATTAGAATTTTTTGCAGTACTTTTTCTGGGAATGGAGTAAAAGTTAAATTGTCCAATTCGTTGAGTTGTTTTTTGAGTTGAATTTTTTTGTGGGAATTTTGTGGGAGTTAAGTTGGCTAATAATTTGCGTTGTTTTTTTTTTTTGTTGCATTTTCTCTTTGAATGGAGTAAACGTTAAGATGTCTAATGCTTTGCATAATACTTTGCTTTGTTTTTGTTTTTTGAGTTGCATTTCCTCTGGGATACGAGAAAAAAATTGCAGTTGCAGTAGTTTGCGTTGTTTTTGTGCTTTGACTTTTTTTCTTTCTCGAAGGCCTTGGGAGGAGGCGACGTTAAGTGATGCGTACAGCACACTGGTTGATGAGATCAAACTTGGGCCGTCGGCACCAGGCGGGAAAGTGGATTTCCGCAGATCCCTGACCTTGAGCTTGTTTTTTAAATTCAACCTGCTCGTCCTCCAATACCTGAAGGAAAAGGTATGAACCAATTAAGGAAATCAGTATCGCATGAAGTTTAAATTATTTTATTACCCCTTTTGTGTGTGTGTGTGTATCTTTTTACTTTTTTATCAGCTCGCGCACTTCAGCTATACAGGCGTTAATACTGAATGTTTAATGTTATATTCATTGCATACATATACTTCGTAGTAGACATCCTTAACTCCTTTCTGCTGTCTGTTGTTCTGTTGTCGGTGTTTCTTTGTTTGAATATGGCGCTTATCACATGCTGTATGGTATCGGCGTTTGGTATCGGGGCATTTTAACGAGTACGAGTACGAGTACAGGAGACCAGTATCGGGCCCGATACCGATACCAGTATCGGTGCATCCCTAGAAAAAATGTTATGTTTCAGATATATGCAAATTAAATATATTTGAACATTGAATTCCCAAATTAAGTAAAAAAAAATCTAAAAGAAGGCATAATGATTTTATTATTTTCAAAAAATAAATTCACTTTATTGTAAATGTTAAATAGTTTTATTTTTAAATGTTAAATAGTCAGCAGTCAAAATTTAATTAGTTTACACTTTATTTTGCTTATTTTTATTATTTATTTTTTATGTTTGTTAACATATGTAGACATTGGGTGGCAATATTGCAAGCGCATATCCAAACTCTGACCTGACCCCCGTCTTAGCTGCTGGAAGATGCACTCTAGTGGCACTTTCTAAAGGTGACCCAACTTCCTATATAATTTATAATATTTGAATCAGTTTTTCAAGCATGTTTGCCTGACAGGCTTCTCACTTTTCTACCCAAATATCCATTACAGATGGACGAAGGAGGGTGTCTATCGATAAATATTTTTTCCTTGGATTTGCAAAGACAATTCTAAAACCAGACGAGATAGTGTTGTCCGTTTTCATACCAGCTACAAGACCGGTAAGAAACGAACCGTCGGCTAGTTTCAGTGCTTTGCACATTGTTTGCAAAAGTATCATGTTTTTTATTTTTCCCCAGAACGAGATTGTCCATGCCCAAGGTTCAAAGTCAAAATGCGGCATGGGTGTTTTTATATGAATGTATCTTTTTTGAAGGGAACCGATTGTCTTCAGAAAAGTTTTGATGTCATTTTAATTTAATATTTCCTATAATGCCTGATAAAGTAGCGTTCATGAGCGCAACGTTGTTTTGATTACAGCCGTTACCGGGGAAACCACTATTTCTGCAGCTCTTAAAGCGCCTCCTGCTGGCAGAGAATGAATTTGCACTTTCAATAAGCCCATCTGCTGTTTTATGTTTACATTATATACATATATATTTCCCCAGGGGAAGTGCCGCCACATATAGAGTGTAAGTCTGTGGGAAACACTGGTAGCTGTCCATAAAAGCACTGTTATGGGCAAAATCATGGTCTCATGGTGCTCAAATGGGAAATTTGTGTTCAAATCCTGCTTGCAACAAAACCTGTTTCTTTTTTCTCTACCTATTATTTCTTGTTTGTATCTGTTTTTTTCAATTAAAAGCCAGCAAAAAAGCTAAATCACTGAACTTATAGAAGGTAAACAGCAGGTTGTGTGTTTTATGTGTGCAGAATGTCTTGGAGGGTCAGTCGGCTCAAGATCCGGTGGGCCGACCCATGATGCACCGGACAGCTCTGAGTCAAGCTACAGGAGAGGCCGTATACTGTGATGACCTACCGCAAACTGAC